TATTCACAATCGTCTTCCACTTCCCATAGTTGATGCAGTAGTGAATGAGTTTCTGATTGAAGAAATCCGTCTTAAGACTCTTTCTGGAATGGTCTTTTTCTATTGCCTAATCAGACTTTACTAGATGTACTACCCAAAGGGACTTCTTATTCATAGACTAAATATAGGGGTCGAGCTGCTTAAGATGAGTGTAGTTTTTATCGTGAAAATGGTCACTAGAAGGCTCAATGTCCAAAATTGGTGAACAAGAATGCCAAGGGGACCTTATATGAGCCATTTAAACCCAAAAATCGTCATACAACACCAGCTGTTTCACCAGTGGATGAGTCACTTCCATTAGCTCCCAACATGACTATGATAGCTGATCAGTTGCAAAAGCTTCTTTCCCTTCATCAATCAGGTGCCCTATTAGTTTCTCCCTCCACAGGTTCATCCACTACAGGTCCACCAGGTATATCTCGAACTGTCTGCGTCTTTGACTCAGGAGTCATCCATCATATGGCTTGTAATTCTTTCTTATTTGTTTCTATTATTTCTCCTCTCTTTATTTCTATCCTTGCAACCATTGGCACCCAAATGTCTTTGGCTAGTGTTGAAACTATCGTGTCTTCCCAACTTACACTTCCTAATGTCTACTATATTCTTCAACTTACTTTAAATTTAATTTATATTAGTTAATTGTCTTATTCAGGATTTTTAGTTCACTCTTATTCTATTGGCTGTGTTGTGCAGATCCATTATCCAAAAAACTAATTGGGACAGGCCATAGAAATGGATGGCTATATGTGTTGGACGATTTTCATGTCCCTGAAGTTGTTGCATCTACTGTTGATTTATCTTCTTTTCAATTAAGTCCAAAATCATCTAATTTTTATTTATGACATTCTCGTTTAGGTCATGTTTATCATTCTCATTTAAAATTTTTAGTTTCTATTGGTATTTTGGGTAGTTTAGAGTGTAATGATATTTCAGATTGTAGTGACAGCAAGTTGACTAAAGTTACTGTATTACCTTTCAATAAAAATAATTTTCATTTTCTTGCACTTTTTGATCTTGTACATTCTGATATTTGGGGACCAGCTCCTATTGCTACTAAAAGGGGGTCTAAATATTATGTCTCTTTTATTGATGAACATATCAGATATTGTTGGGTGTATCTGATAACACGTAGTTCTTAGTTCTTTTTCATTTTCACTACCTTTTCGTGCTATGGTGCGTACTCAATATTATTCTATCATCAAATGCTTCTGTTGTGATCAGGGTGAAGAATATTCTTTTAGTCCTTTTCGTGATTTGTTGAAATCTGATGGTACTATTTATCAGTTTTCTTGTACCGACACACCTGCTCAGAATGGAGTGGCTAAACAAAAACATCGTTATATTATTAAGACAGCTCATTCACGGTTATTGTCATCCAGTGTCCCTAACTCTTTTTGGGGAGAAGTATTCCTTACAGCAGTTCACCTGATTAATTGTATTTCTACAATCCTTAATACTGGTGTCTCACTTTTTGAAAAATTATGTGGTAAGATACACGACTATTTCTCTTTACGTGTGTTTAGATGTACATGTTTTGTTCTACTACCTAATTTTAATCATACCAAACTCTCGGGTCGTTCAGCCTTATGTGTTTTTCTTGGATACAGTGAGGGACAAAAGAGATTTCGGTGTTATGATCCTAGTACACAAAAACTCTATGTTTCTCGTCATGTTGTTTTTATGGAGCATATTCCCTTTTTCTCTATTTTATCTAGTTATTCATCTCTGCATAAATCTGATCTTATCTATTTTGATCACTTTCCCTCTAATGTTTCCTTTGACTCATATGTTAGTGATATGACTACAACTGATCTTCACTCCTCTTCTTCTTCTTCCCCTTTGCTATTGGTCTATTACCTGCACCCTCGATTGTACATACTTATGTTCGCAGGACTCACACTATCTCCTCCACAGATGTTGTGTTTTCATCTCCCAAATCAAATTCTGACACCGTGGATCACACTCCCCACTTTCCTCAACGTACTCGAAAGTGTCTTGATAGGTTTGATTGGTCCAACTCTTGTTACTTTTTTTATTTTTGTTCTTTCTTGACTTTTATACATTCTCTGTCTGAACCAACCTCCTATAAGGAGGCTATACTTGATCCTCTTTGCCAACAGGCTATGGATGAGGAGATTTCTACTTCACATAAGACTTGAGCTTGGGTGTTGGTGTGTTTGCCTCCTAGTAAACGCCCCATTGGTTGTAAGTGAGTTTATAAAATCAAAACTCAATCTAATGGTTCTGTGGAAAGGTACAAGACTAGATTAATGGCCAAGGGATTTGCTTGAGAGTATGAGTTTGACTACAATGAGAGTTTTGTTCTAGTGGCTAAGATGACCACGATTCGCACAATAACTATTGTGGCAGTTGTTCGTCAATGGAGCTTCTCTCAAATTGATGTGAAAAACACTTTTCTTCATGGTGATTTATCTGAAAATGTCTATATGACTCCTCCTCTAGGGTTGCCTTGTAGTCCTGATCATGTGTGCAAACTTCACAAGGCTTTATATGGTCTTAAACAAGCCCCGAGGGTATGGTTTGTAAAATTTTCTTTAGTCATATGTGACTTAGGCTTCTGTGCTAGTGATCATGATTCTACTCTCTTCCTTCGATCCACTTCTTCTAGTTTCATTCTTCTATTACTTTATGTGGATGACATGATTGTTACAGGTGATGACAATACTGGAATTCTGCTGTTGAAAACTCAATTACAGGATTATTTTAAGATAAAAGATTTGGGTCCACTTCAATATTTATTAGAGATTGAGGTTGCTTCATCTCTCAAGGGTTATCTTCTTTCTCAGTCAAAATATGACTCAGAAGTTATTCAGCGAGCTTGCTTATCAAATACTCGAACAGTTGACACACCCTTGGAGTTCAACGTTCGTTATACTTCTTCTGATGGTTCTCTTCTGTCTGATCCTACCTTATATTGTACTATTGTTGGAAGTTTGGTATATCTTACTATTACTCATCTAGATATTACTTATGCGGTTCATGTAGTTAGTCAATTTGTTGCTGCTCTTACTACACTTCACTGGTCTCCCGTTCTTTGAATTCTTCGATATCATATGTGGGATACGTTGTATCAAAGTTTATTATTTTATTCTTCATCATCTCTGGAGCTTCATGCTTACTCTAATGCAGACTGGGCTGGTGACTCTATAGATCGCAAGTCCATTATTGGTTTCTGTCTCTTTCTTGGTGATTCTCTTATTTCGTGAAAAAGTAAGAAACAAACAATTGTGGTTCGATCCTCTTCTGTAGCTAAGTGTCGTGCTACGGCCTCAACAACAGCAAAGATCGTTTGGTTGCGTTGACTACTTGCTGATCTTGACATTTTCTTGTCTACTCCTTCTCTTATGTATTGTGATAACATCAGTGTCATTCAGATTGTCCATAATTCGATTTTTCAAGAACGCACAAAACATATTGAGATTAATTGTCACTTTGTGCGCCACCATCTTCAGCTGGGCATGATATCTCTCCCCTTTCTTTCTTCTACTATGCAGTTGGTAGATTTTTTTTACGAAATCTCACATCATTGCGCATTTCTGTTTTTTTTTTTTGACAAACTCTTGATGTTTGATGCTACCACATCATAAGTTTGAGGGTGAATGTTAGAATATTTATATTATGGGTAGTTTAGGCATTTCATATTATTTTGTTTATAGGTAGTTTAGGCATTTTATATTATTTTGTTGCCCTAATATATAAGGGTTTATATTGTGTATTCTTTTTTAAGGTTGTATTACTGATTGGATCAATCTCAATAATATTCTTGACTTCTCTTTTTTTTTCTTTGATCAATGTTAACAATTAGAAGGGTTGTGTACTAGCCAAAGTTGAAGGATATGATTTTCTTACAATAGCATCTCACTCGATGGTGTTGATAAACTCTCTGGTTATAAAGGAAGCAATAAGAGGAATTGAAGTGATCCAAGGAGCTATCCTGAGCTATGCTCAGACAATCCCTGAAGTGCAATTTCAATATGTTAGTCGAGCGGCAAATGCAACTATTGCCAATCGTGCTATACTCCCAGTCAACTGGGTAGTTAGTATAGCACTAGAGTTGACGGAGATTTGTAGGAAAGAAGTAAGGCAAGGAATAGGCTAGGTCTCATATGCTAATGTTAAATTTCGTACTCTGGAATATTTTTCTAATTAAATACAATGACAAAAAAAAAAAAGATAAATAGGTATTAAGTTCCCGTATTATTAGCTCAAGGAAAGTCTACGATACTAAACCAAATTTTTTTGATTCTATATTGTCGATTACAATTTTTTATGAAAAAGTTACAGATTTGAAAGGAGAAGTTATAATTATTCAAAGAAAGACCATAATCGACCACAAACACCCTCGATCATAGACTCTCAATATCAATTTCACTTCTATGATCAATCATACTCTTTAAAAATTATAATTTATATTTTAAAAAAAATATAATTTAACTTTAAAAATTTATAACTTAAACTTCAAAATTTTATAATTTTTAGTAGAATACTGCCGTCACCTTTCTTCTTTAACTCATCTGGCTGAAAATAGCCGATCAATTAAATTTAGGGAAATACAATGTATCTTAAATTTATAACCCAAATTTATATCTCAAATAAAGGGGGACCGTTGAATGAGTGAGTCTCATCAATTTTTTTAAATGAGACCCACTAATCTAATAATTTTCTTTTATTTGGAATGTAAATTTAGATCATAAATTTGGACTACGCAGCATTGCTCTTAAATTTATAGCTGCACATGTCCAGTGAATGCAAATAACACTCTTCACCTCCTGACACGACCAGCACAAACTACAAAAATTTGTTCACCTTCCTCAATCTTCCGAACCCACCCCCTCCCGATTCTCCCTCTCTCCTCCCAATATAAAACCCAATAGCCTTCAATTTAATTCGCTCTTGAAAAAACTCGTATTTGTTTCTTGATTTTCGTTTCGTATCGTTTCATGGAATGCTTAGAATCCATAGATTCAACGGCCAATGCCTACAAACTCCTTTTCAAAGCTATCAAAGAGATACCCACATCACATTATGTGTTTGGTTTGTTTCTTTTCCTCATTGTTTTCTTGTACAACTTCTTGGAGTTCCACTTTTTCGAAGATTTTGTTTCTGGCTTTCGTGAAAGTCCCGTGTCATTGACCTATAATCCGTGCTCGGAAATCTACGAAGGTGTTGCCAAGAAGTGTCAAATTCTTCATGGAAGGTATATTTTTTGAATTTTTTATTAAAAAAAAAAATTAATACCCAATTTGAATCTCTTCTTGTTAGTCAAAAGTGTTGGGAGCATGCATTGGGTATTGACAGAACGGAGCTAGGATTTTATTGTGAGGGGTCACACAGAAATATCGACACATTCAAAAAAAAATTAGTAGGTCATTCAACCAATTATGTCAAATTTTTAGTTATACCAAATCTATCAAGAATCAACTTTCATATCCTCCGGAAAAGATATTTGGATGACAAAATCTGAAAATTGATTTGTAGTAACTACGATTAATTTTTGTTAGCTTCACAGTTGGTAGCGGAGCCGCTAAAAGATTTGGGGAACAAGTGTCCACCCTGATTTTTTTTTAATATTACTTATATATATAAATATATATTTTAAATATCCTTTAAGCATATTCAATTATATCCACCGTATTATCTTCATCTAATATCAATGAGTATTGACTTGAAAACTATTAACTTTCAGACATACTTCAAACACACCCCGATGGGTTTTTGGATATATTGGGTCCTTTCCTTTTTTTTTAACCAAAGATAGTGGTATAGTTATTTTGTTGTTGTATAAAAATTAGAGACCTTGTGTAGTAAAATACAAGGTTAGTTTTTAATATTCTGAGTGACATCAGCTAATACTTTTCTGCATGTGAATTTGAGAAATGGTGCTGATTGAAAATGTATTGTGGTGCCCGGGGGAGGGATTTTGGCTGTCGAGAGATGGAATGCAAATTTAGCGATTTGTTATCATCGGTGTCGTCTGTGTACAGGGCGTCTATTAATTACTGAATAATTGGAAGTTATGGTTCTGTTGCTTTTCTTTCCTGGGTTCCTTTTTTCTCTTTCTGGTAATCATGTCTGATTCTCAGTCTTCAGAATATGTGAATAGTGAATTACTTTTTCGGCCTCCAGCAAGCCAATGTTACCTTCCTTTTTTCCCCCTTGTTTTTCACTTATCTTATCCACTGCCATGATAGTAGTGTTGGAGACCAAAGGATTTGGATTACATTACAAAGACCAACTGATGAAAACGATTGAGCAATCTGGACGTTCATCGTTACTTGGTCATTGATGTGCACAATTCACCAGGCTTTTGTGGACTTTCATTGTTACTCACTGATGTTTTCTTTACTAGAAATTATTTTTCTGTGTACTTAAGTTATCTGTCTTGTGCTTCAGCTGGATTCTGGTTCCTCTTCCCCAAACCATTAAAATTATTTGCAAGTTCTGTTTTCATTTGATTGGGGTGCATCCAAAATTCTAATTAATGAAAAAAAGGGTAAAAATCACAGTTAATCTTTGAACTTTGTCTTCAATTTCAATTTGGTTCTTTAACTATAAATTACGTCTTCATTAAGCCGTATTAATTTTCATTGTTAGATCAAACCAGAGATTAGCTCAAACTAATTCATTTCAGTGATAATCTAACAGTGGAAATAAATAGAAGAATTTAACCGCGACAAAATTGATAATTGAGGGACTAAATTGAGACAATTAAGAAAGTTCAGGAAGCTTTTCCATCTCTAATTGACTCTCAGGCCTGGGATGTTAAAAACTATGGGAAAAGCGTATTTATACCTAGATGGAACTTAAATTAGATTTTGTAAAAAGGAGTTTCATGAACTGCGAAAGATGAAGAACTTTTAATTTGAAACATGAAGACCCTCGTATAAGAAAACTTGTTTAGTGACAAAAAACCCTAATTGGAATTATCACTATTCAAGTAATGACATTATAGGCACTTATAATTCGGGTTTGACAAAACTATATGGTTGTTATATTGTGACTTGAATGTCATGTGTTTGAGTTATGAGAACAATTTTTTTATATATGAAGATAAGACTACGTACATTTCAAATTTTTCAAAACCTAGGAGTCTTTTTCATTGTTTTTCTAAAGTATAGTAATTTTATGATCAATTCATAACAATAATCTCTCCGTACATAAATGTAAAATTGTGCATATCTGAAATAGGCTCGTACATCATAACTAGCTTTCCAAATGATATGCATCTCCTATAAACTAGTGGTGATAGTAGAGGAAATATGGCCACAAACTATGGGCAAAATGACAATATCCATGTACAAAGATGTTTGTGTCTAACATCAATATTTTGACCAGGTCTTCCAAACAAGCAAATAAATTCAACTCAAAGGAGACACCCTAGAGACAGTCGTCGTCCACAAGCCTGAAATTCTTTGTTTTTGATAGCAGATTTTCTTGACCAGAAAGGAAAAGACAGGATGTTGATCATGTTATAAAGATAAAGACTTGTAACGGAAATGCATTGACCCATGGACCATAAAGCATGGCTCAATTTTTTGGTGAGAGAAATTATATAATAGTTAGAACGTTGACATGTGTATTCAACGAGGTAACTCGTATTCAAAGATACAGCATAATAAAAATAATTTTTAGAGATATATTGGTGGCCGTTAAATGAATTTATTTAAAATTATCAAATAAATTTATTAAAATATGTCTTATTTATTTTACGGAGTTGGTTTGCATGGGTTTGCAATGGATACGTCATATAATTAGCTAGAGTAATGTTAGACCGATTAAATTTTGATATTAAATTTGGAGCTCAAATAACATAACAGTTGATTATTTAAAATTTTTTTTGGGGCCCAAATAACATCACACCAATCAAAAAAATTTAAATCAATTATCATGTTATTTGGACTCCATATTTAGTGTCACAATTTGATCAATCTAATATTACTGAACCAGCTACAGAGACTTTTAACACTTGAAGTTTCAAATAAGTCTTATGACCGTCTCATCCGAGTAAATTACAGTAATATCAAACACGTATAATTAGAATTTGATATGACAAAATTAGTTTTATGGGTCCCAACTAATAGTAAGATTCACGTTGATCTAATGACAAAAAATAATAAAGTCGTAAAATAAAGTCCATGTAATATTGTATTTTTTATCATAATCTTAAAAAACATAATCAAACATATATTTCGTGAGTAATGTCTAATTCATAGAAAAATAATTTTTTAAGAGTGTCAATGACAAGATAATATAATCTATCAAATAATCTTTGAATTTGAAATTTTTGGAATTTTTTATTTAATTTAAAAATTAAGTCAATTAATTATAATATCAATAAAAAAATATGTTAGAAAAACTTCAATACAAATACTAAATAATTAATATGCATCCATAAAAAAAATTAAATATTAGAAAATTTACACTATTATTAAAAAAAAANTGTTAGAAAAACTTCAATACAAATACTAAATAATTAATATGCATCCATAAAAAAAATCAAATATTAGAAAATTTACACTATTATTAAAAAAAAATTTAAAAAAAGTCTCAATTGAATTTATTGTTTTAGGCCTCAAAACATATCAAGTCACCCCTAACAATCATCAACATCTCTCTAAAAAATATTTAAATTTTACACTATGTTTCTAAACACANCAAGTCACCCCTAACAATCATCAACATCTCTCTAAAAAATATTTAAATTTTACACTACATCTTTAAACACGAATTATTTTAATTAAATATAAATACAACACGACACAATACAACTTAATTCGGTACATACCTTGAATTTTAAAGTGTCCTAAATTACACAGCCTGTCTTTTTATCCAAATTACATAGTATTCCAAACAGAAAATCTGAGACTAGTTCCTGGGATTCGGCTCCTCTGCTGTTCATTAAGAACAGCAGGAGTTGCTGTTCTTCCAAACGATGCCGTTTGGTGCCTTTTTTAAAAAACTAACCAGACCCAATCCGCTGGATTTTTGGCCGAATCCGACTTAATCCGCTGACCCAAAACTAGCTGGGTTTTTGGCCGAATCCGACCCAATCATGAGCAAAAGTTAACATTTGGCGCCACTTTGGCACACTCCACACTCCTACATACACACAGCCGCTGAATCAAAAATCAATCCAGTTCCAATCTTTGGTGGTGAACATACCGTTGCGATGCTTAGTTTATTAAATAGAAACGAACCAAAATACTTGTTTATTGAGTTTTGCGATTCGTTCCTTTCATCCATTTCATGTATTTTTATGTCCATTTCATGTATAAACACACACATACACACACACACATATATATATATATGAATATATATACACACCCACAAATTTATATTTTTATTAATTAGACTTTTCTTGACCTATATTTAAATTTTAAAATTTTGAATCTGATGATGCACAAAAATGGTTTTGCACACCACCTGTCAAGTATGGATAATAAATGCAATGAAATCAATGAGAAAATTAAAGAAGACACAATTTATAGTGGTTCGGTCAATTCGACCTACGTCCACTCTTCAATGGCTTCAGTCGCCGGGTATTTTATTGATTCAAAGGTATGGAGAACGGAGATACAAGCTTTGAGAGGGGGAATAGAGAATCAGAGAAAAATAATAATCTCCGGTAGTCGGTTCGTCTTCTGAAAGTCTCTGATGGAGCATGTCCCTTTCTCTCTCAGATTAGAGCCATTTTATAGTAGATAAGAGATCATTCTTGTGGAGATCATAACATATCCTCAAAGCTTCTTTATCGCAGCTTAGAGATTATCTTCGGTGGAGATCACGACTTATTCTCAACGGAAGGAAGAGTTTGGGGAACCCTTGAAGGAAACGTGGTCAAAGATTGGACCGTTGATAAGCTTCTTGTGCTCTCCTCTTGGTGACGTGCTAAGCAAGAAGTCCAACCGTGCTCTCCTCTTGGTGACGTGCTAAGCAAGAAGTCTCTTGGACTTGGTGGGTTCACAATGAGGTTGGGCTCCTCAACCGGGGTTGGACTTTAATACATAAATTGGACTACTTGGGCTTAACCCATCAGAATCTTTGATTATTTTGTTGATTTCTTTGATCATTATTAAATTTTATGATATGATTTAATTATGATGTTTTGGTTTGTTGTTAATTTATATCGATCGTTGGTGCCTTTATTTTCTTAGAAATGAAACTCACATGGGTTTAGATGAGAGATTGGGTCAGCGGATTGAGTCGGATTCGGCCAAAAACCCAGCGGTTTGGGTCTGGTTAGTTTTTGAAAAAAGGCACCAAACGACACCGTTTGAGAAAACAGCAGCTCCTGCTGCTCGTAATGAACAGCAGAGGAGCCGAATTCCTAGTTCCTGCCATTACCATCACCAATCATTGACGACAGAAATGCTTAGCCCTCGTCAGTGGTCTCTATCCACCGCCATACTTACTACTTTACGCTAACGGGAGGGGCTCTGGTACCGATGTTGATGTTGATACTGTACCGTAAAAAATGTGAGTTTACAATTTAGAATTTCTCTACACTCAAACGTGTTGTGGCCTGTCACCATCTCCTTGGCATACGATGCAATTAGTTCCAAATTTTTGTGATTATAACCTTGTATTTAGATCGTATTATTTTATATCGAATTTTATATATTGGATTAATTACACTAGAGGTCCTCAAAAATATGAGATTTATTTTATTTTAGTCCCAAAAATTTTAATTGCATCATTTTAGTTTCTGAAATATTTAATATGTTTTCTCAAGCAGGTAGCGTCTAAATTGCTATAATTTTTTATCATAAATTTGTCACAAAATACGCAAGTATAGACAAAAAATAAAAAGAAAAAGTAATTTTAATAACTTTTAAACAAAATTTGGGTTGTTCTTGACAAAAAAAAATTATAATATGAGTAATTTTTGACAAAAATTTGGATAGCCAATTATCAAAACTATATAATTTAGATAGTTATTTAACAAAATTTGAGTAGAAATTTGGTCAACAGTTATCCAAATTATTTTTTTATCCATATTTGAGTATTACGCGACAAGTTTATGATAAATAATAGATAGCAATCTGGACGTTGTCTGTTTAAGGGATCATATAAAAACATATTTAATACTTGAGGGACCAAAATAATACATCTAAAACATTAGAAATTAAAATAAGACAAATTTTATACTTTGAAGATTTCTAGTACAACTAACCCTTATATTTTTTTCCACTGCTATTCTATGTCTACCCCATCCATCAACTCTACACCCATCCCAACTTTAACTTTATTGGATAATTATTCATCAATGTATTATTTTTTAAAAAAAATACGTGAAATAGTCAAGAAAGATGAAGAGAAATTCAAATTTGAAAATAGTTTTTTTTATTAAATTTAAAAATATATTAAAACGACATATGATAACCAAAAAGAGATGAAATAGAGTACCATATTGGGTATCTATAAAAAAAATATTAGAAGCATTTTAGGTTTAAATGTCCAAGTGGTGAGAATTGATTGGACGTTAGTTAATTAAATAATTTAAAATTCTATTAAATTATCTCAATATCCCCCTCTCTAGAAAATTGTTTGTTTTATATTTTTCTCAATTACATTAACTAAATATAGATCTACCATAAATTAAAAATATTTTCCTCCAAATTCACGTAAAACCAAATCAAAATTTGTTTAGTTCTAAAACAATTATACAATACTAATTTTCTTTTAATTCAATGCTAGGAAAACAAGTATTTTATTATTGTTTTAGAACTAAATGTTTTTTGATTTGGTTTTAATTGAATTTGAATGAAAGCTCTCGTAAGGTAAATAGCATATATTCTTTTAATTAATTAAACGATTAGAATTTGGTACCAACAATTTTATTATTTATTATAAAACCTATTAAATCAGTTATTCACATCTAATGCTAATCTAATTTATATGTTATCGTTTTATTTAATTATTTTTATAATCATGTCACATTCATATTGAAATGACAGCATTATTTTTCTATTTTTGATAATTTAGTTGAAATTAAGCATTATTTTTCTCTTTTTTATATTTATAAGGCAGAGTTTGATAAAATGATTGCACATGTACAACACGTGCCTCTCATTTTATTAGCTCGATGCTCGAATCTATTATCAATGTACAACGCATTTTAAACTTAAATACTATTTTACAATTATTTTGAACTTAATTATCAAATTAAGAAAATTTTAAAAGCGAATTTAACAATTACGATTTCTTTTAAAAACGAATATAGCAAATCCGACTTTATGCTTAACGGCAGAATCAAGAAATTCGCTTTTATCAAGAAGTCGAATTTATTGATACCACTTTTAAGAGAATAATGTGTCTCTTGTTGCGAACTAAAAAAGACCAAAACTATTTTTTAATAAAAATCAGACTTGTCAAAACTGAGTTTATGCTTAAAGGTGAAATCAACAAGTCCAAATTCATCTTGAAATCGGATTTATTGATGCTGCTTTTAAGAGAATAGTGNGAAGTCGAATTTATTGATACCACTTTTAAGAGAATAATGTGTCTCTTGTTGTGAACTAAAAAGGACCAAAACTATTTTTTAATAAAAATCAGACTTGTCAAAACTGAGTTTATGCTTAAAGGTGAAATCAACAAGTCCAAATTCATCTTGAAATCGGATTTATTGATGCTGCTTTTAAGAGAATAGTGTGTCTGTTGGTGCCAACTACAAGCGGACTTATTAAAACCACTTTTTATAAAAAAAAATTAAAAAAAAAAAAAAGGTGTTAGGTCATCATTACTTGCTCTCAAAGACCTGCAAGTCCCTACATGCTGCATCTGTCTAAAGCCTCTCTCTTTTTTTCGACTCTTGCTTTTTGCATAAGGCTCCCATTTTCAGCCCAACCATCAATTACCTCAACTGGGGAGCCTCTCTTTTTCTTTCAACTCTTGCTTTTTGCGTAGGGCTCCCATTTTCAACCCAACCATCATTACCTCAACTGGGGAGCCTCTCTCTTTGTGGGTAGTGGGTTCATTCGTTGTAGCTTTTTTGGTTCCGTTGTTCTTTGTATCTTGTTTACTTCTTTGTTCTTGTCGTTGCTTAGTCCACCAAGATTCTCCATATTTTAGATGCAATACCCTTCTTTCCACATTTGGATGTTAATAAAATTAAAACTGAGATCATCTTCAATAGAGATACATACTTTTACTCAAATTTGACTAAAAAAAAAGGTAAAAAATTTAATTTGGTATGAACTTCTCCAACGGAGAAATCTAAATTTAATAGAATTTTTTTTTTTTTACATGAGGACAAACTCAAATTTAAAAGAGGGCAAATATGGCCGTTAGATTTTTAAAAAAGAGTGTAATCTCATTATTGATGAAAAATATAAGAATTTGAGTCTCCCTTAATTTGGGTTTAAAAAAGGAAAGTCCTTCATGAGTATAAGTCTATTATTAGATAAAGGTTTTAAGAGTGTTTCACCTTTTTTTAACAAGGGTACAAAAAAGGGTAAGTGCTGGAAATGTGCTAACAATAGTTATAGAGTAAATTTTACTAACATCTTCTGTATTTAGGTGGTATGTCACTAACATCCCCTTTGGTATCTGAAATATCATTACACACCCTATAATTCATATATGTGTTGCACTAACTACCCTTATCATCCATGGTATTACTAACAACCAAAAAAGCATGTGATGTGTTTGCATATTCTCTTATGAATTACCAACTTTACGCCTAGCATGTATATTTAATACAATATCATCTTCTCTTTTTTGGCAATCCCAACTTGTTCCAACTTCCAACTACAATAGTAGGCAATATTCAGTTGGTCTTAATATTGAATATTAATTTGGTATTAGTTTAAAAAAAAATAAATTAATTCCATAAAATTTAATATTAATTTGATAAATAAATGTCAATTTGTTGTTGATTTGATAAAATTAAAAGTTCATTTGGTGTGAAATTAATAAATGACATTAATTTGATAAAATTAAATATCAAATTCATGAAATTGAATGTTAATTTTACAAAATTGAAGGCTAGTTTGATAATTTTGTATTAATTTGATAAAACTAAATGTTAAATTAATAAAATTGAATGTTAATGTGATGTCTATTTGATGAGATTAAATGTTAATTTAAAATTAAAATAAAAAAATGATATTATGAATGTTAAATTGATAAAATTGAATATTAATGTGATAGAATTAAAGGTTAATTTGATGTTAATTTAATAAAATTTAATATTTATTTGGACTTAATATTATAAATTTGAGTGTTAATTTGATAAGGGTGAATGTTTATTTGATGGAAAAAAATGTTAATTTGATAAAATTTAAGGTCAATTTCATCTTATTTTGATGAACTTGAATGATTTCATAAAATAGAAAGTTAATTTGATAAAATTAAATTAATTTAGTATTAATGTGATAAATATTAATATCAATTTGATGAAATTGAATATTAATTTGATGAAATTTAAGACTAATTTGGCGCTAATGCGATGAAATATAAAACTGATTAGGTGTTAATGTGATAAAAGTGAATATCAATTGGATAAAATGAATGTTTATTTGATAAAATTGAATAGTAATTTTATAAAATTGAAAATTAATTTAGTGTTGATTTAATGAAATTAAATATTTATTTTGTATTATTTTCATATAATTATTTTAATAATGATAGTGTGTGAAATGGACATATAAACTCTTTTGGTAAAAAAAATTTGTGACCATAATTAGGTTAGGGCATGACATATGGTAAAAATTAAAAAATTAAAAAATATAAGGATAAATTTCAATAACACCTGTAAAATGGTAGTTCTGGCAAGCCTATTTATGCAAAATCTCATTCTCTGTTATAACATCGTTAACCAACAAAATCTCATTCTCTGTTAATATGAGTTGTGTCCCGCTTTGAGTGAATCAATAAATACACCTACTCACAACTTGAGGAAAATGGTTTTTACTAGCTTCCTTTAAAGTGTGTTTGAAAACGTCTTTATTTTTGTTTTAATNAAATTTAATATTAATTTGATAAATAAATGTCAATTTGTTGTTGATTTGATAAAATTAAAAGTTCATTTGGTGTGAAATTAATAAATGACATTAATTTGATAAAATTAAATATCAAATTCATGAAATTGAATGTTAATTTTACAAAATTGAAGGCTAGTTTGATAATTTTGTATTAATTTGATAAAACTAAATGTTAAATTAATAAAATTGAATGTTAATGTGATGTCTATTTGATGAGATTAAATGTTAATTTAAAATTAAAATAAAAAAATGATATTATGAATGTTAAATTGATAAAATTGAATATTAATGTGATAGAATTAAAGGTTAATTTGATGTTAATTTAATAAAATTTAATATTTATTTGGACTTAATATTATAAATTTGAGTGTTAATTTGATAAGGGTGAATGTTTATTTGATGGAAAAAAATGTTAATTTGATAAAATTTAAGGTCAATTTC